ACAATAATAAAACATAAAAAAATTGATAATTTGATAATTAAATATTTCATTAAATATAATTTCCATCATAAAATTCAAACATTAAAAATCATGTAAATATTTGGCCATACCTTGACTGCTTCATGCACAGTCTGGAGTTTGGCAGCTAAAGCAACAAATGTTTCATTCATCTTAATCATTATTAAGGAAATATCTGGAAATTAATAACAAATTATATAATCATTGCATCAAATTACATTCTCATAAAAATCATTCACAAGCCCTGTCATGTGACATACCTAAATATGTTCATGATGATATCACATTATGACCATATATGGGCATACAACAGTTTTTTCAAAGTCTGGACAAACCTAAAAAAACATGTGACACTTAGGAAATGGAATAACATAAAATACTACATAACTAATTACAATACACACAAAAATTTTAAAAAATAAATAAATATATACGACATTGATATGTTTTAACTGATAAGCCAAAACGGGAAATGAGATCAGAACCATAAACCCCATTAGTGCAATCACAAAAATAGAGAGAATCAAGGAAGAATGACAGAAGTGGAAGAGAATAGAGATATTACAAACATGAGAAACAAATTTAAACAAATTAGACATGCATTTAAAATACCAGAATTAAATTCAATATGAAGTCTAACAAGTGAACAATATACTGAAGATTAGTTAATGCTTTTTGGTTCTTTATATTCCAACAGTTACGATTAATTAGGCCTAGCCTCGCATAAGAATCATCTTGTATCGTAAACACTATTATTAAGTCATCCATTCTCAGAAATTCATTTTGTTATTACTTTCTGTTTTCTGCGTATGAGACAACCCTCGAATTTCAGAAGTTTTTTTGACAATTTTGTATGTCAGGCATACAATTAAAAGATGACCACCTGTTTTACCGTTGGAATTCATACTTTTTCCTGCTTCTTTATTGTCTTGATGTTGCATCTAGCTGGCTGAAAACGGAGCCAAATGTAGGGCTATTCTTCACAAAAATACAATTTTATGAATTTTTGAATGTTTATCAAAATCTTTCTACCCAGTATTTAGAATTGTGTTCATTCATACTGGCATTTAGTAGGTTCATTGCAGTAGTAAATTTGCATGCTATTGAAGATTCACACAAGACGAGCATCTCACACATACAACACAACAACCTGTTTTTTTATCGTTATTTGCTATTTTATGGCTTTTCTTATAAGCAGAGTATATACAATATGTTTTCTTAATATTGTATGATCATTTGTTCATACCTTGGGGTGTGTAGCTGGCAGGCCTTGTGAGTGACAACAGGTGGCTCTCTATCTGCTCAATTTCTTGATGACACAGCTGCATCTGCTCTTCAAAATTCTGAATAAGTCTCTGGAAATATCTGTAAGATAAGTGAATGGCCACAAACATTATTATTATAATTATTATTATTATTATATCATTATTAGCAATACATTAATATAATTACAGTGTATTATTATTATTAGAAATATATTACCATCACCACTAATTACTATAAATTAAATCCTTATTATAAGTACGTACTCTGCAGGGGCGGTATGGTCCATCTGCAAGGCACGGGGTATGTCATGGGTTCGGTGCGCCATGTCGGCATTCTTTAGTTCATATGCCGAGTCCGTCTTAAGCTTATAGATTGCCATGGTGTTCCGCTGCAGACTGTTGCCAACAACGGACAGCAGTTGACGTAGAGCTAGCATGTCTTCTTTCACTTTGTGCATCGGCTTCGGTGAGAAACGGCCGATCTCCTCACGTATGGCCTTCTGTTTTTTCACATACTCTCTGAAGGAATTGTATAGAATAATCAATATCCTTGTATAAGATATGATATATAAAGATCTGTCAAACTATCAATTTTCTTTGACAAACACTGTTGTATACCCATATATAGTCATGATGTGCCTATATAAGGTCATGATATGTCATCAACCATATTTAGGTTGTATGTCACATGTTGCTGTCAAACAAAATTTAATAGCCTGCACTGGGCTTTTATACTACAGTACCCTTGAAGGGATTAGACCAGACGAATACAAAACTGGTAAACTACTCGGCTGCATAATCAAGGTTGCTTCAGCTTGCGGCATTTCATTATACAAAAACGTAAATAATCTGAATAATATATTATGAAACAACATAACAATATTATATAATATTATGAAATAACATGAAATTTGAAAAACTTGTAAAAAATTCACAATGTACTGTAAACTTACTTGAATTCATTTACTGTTACACAAATTTCATTTGGTAGCGATGTTTCTTTAACAGCTTTACTATAATAAAATGGAAATTTATATTTTATTAGGACACTATGTTTGAATTATAAACTAGCATAGTCATAAATCATACCATACTGTCGAATCATGAAACTGTGGACTTTCTCAAGCGGTAAAATACACACTCGACACGTGAGACTTGTACATATCGAATGAGTTTCAGATATCACCAGTGCAAATCAACCACCATGCCCATGTAATCCCCCATGGATTTTCCTGAGATATACCTTCATAAAAAAAACCGAACAAAGGTAAAGGAGCCATTACTGGCTGATTTGAACGGGAATGACCCAATAGTCAGACATACAATTTGTTATAGTGTGACTAACAATTGAAATTTTGTGTTTAAAAAAAGGGTAAATACAGCAATAAAAAATATATTTGTTGGGATAATGTATGAAGACGTGTAATACACTATTCAGGTCACACTCCATTGCAATTGGTTGCTATGTGGTAATCCAAAACTGATTACTCCCAATTGCAATTAGCAAGCGCATTCACACAACATCAGACATCAGAAGTTAGCGGTTTGGAGAGAATTCACTTTGGTGTCAGGCTTTCAACCTGTTATGCTCTCTTGGCATGCTGCTAAACTGTCATGTTGTACTTCATTGTTTGTTTTTAATGTTTTTTTGTACTACTACTATTATTATTATTATTATTATTATATGAATATGCCAAATCTATAATAAATTAATAAATAAATATAATGGAATGGGAGGTCAAACAGTATTAGGCCTCCGGTGGCTAGACCTACAGGTTGACTGACCTCTGCTGCCAATCGGTGCCTGTGCAATTTGTTGCAATCAGTTGCGATTGGATTCTGTGGCAAAAACTGTGATATCGATTACTTATCACTTACTATCGGCAAGCTTTCACACACGAATGTGTACACTCTGACTGTCCTCTTCTGGAAACCTACCTTGTACTAGAGGCTCCATTAGTAGTGTTGACTGTAGTAGTTTTCAATGAAGCTGGATCCACCCCTCCTAATCCTTTACTAGCTGTACTGACAGAAAGGAGTGCCGCTGTTCCTATAGATAAATATATAGAAATACTCAGCCCATGAACACAGAAGCTTTGACAATCACTGAGAAATCTTAAGTTAGTATTAAAATAAGAATCCTACCTCCAAGTCCTAATCCGGCTCCAAGACTAGGAGGTTTTTTTGCACCAAGACCACCTGTACCCAGGCCACCAGTTCCAAGCCCACCTGTACCAAGACCACCTGTACCCAGGCCACCAGTTCCAAGCCCACCTGTACCAAGACCACCTGTACCCAGCCCACCAGTTCCAAGTCCACCTGTACCAAGACCACCTGTACCCAGGCCACCAGTTCCAAGGCCACCTGTTCCGAGACCACCTATACCTGCTGCTCCTCCTAAAGTGAGACCTGCTCCTGTTGTTCCAGATAAGGCGTTGGTTGTGCCTCCTAATGTTAAACTGTTTGCAGTTGTTTTAGCAGAAAATGAAAGACCTCCCAGGGAAGCTGTAGTTATAGCTGTAGAGGTTGCAGTACCACCAAGCTTCAGTGTTGGTGCCACTTGTCCAGTGGTTTTAGCACCACCAAGATTTAGGCTTGTGGACCCTTGACCACCCAACTTGAATCCTCCAGAAGTTAGGCCAGTAGTTGAAGTAGTGTTTGGAGTGCCTAAAAACGATCCAGTATCTGAAGAAATAATGTATTTGAAAAAAAAGAAATGTAAAAATAATAAAAAAAACTCCATAGTGATTTTATCATAATTAGTACAAAGAGTAATCAAAGAATCACACTATCACTAACAATAAAGTCTTCATTCAATTCATTTTAAAATGTTTTTTAAAAATACAAATAAAATACTGATACTTTTTAATTTAATATAAACCACTTAAAAATACAAAGCAATCTTGAAAACAAAAACTTACTTAGGTTTTAACAAAAATAAATAAAATTTATTTACATTTTAGAACTATGATCATTTATATTAATTAAATAATAACAATTTATAGATATCTTGTAATTTAATAATACAGTATATATATTTACTAGAAACTGGTTGGGTTGGTGTCGCTGAAGTGCCAAAGCTAAATCCACCTCCAACAGTTCCCGGAGTAGAATTTTTTCCAGCCCTATATGAAGAAAAAAGATATATTAATTTTATAGCTGAATATATTGAGAATATAAAATATTTAATCCATTAATAAAAAAATAAATATATAAATGTTAAGCATTAAAATCATATAGATAATTCTCAGTCACGTATAAAAGGTTTAAATCACAAACATGTAGAACAATCTCACTTCATTTGTACCAGCCAGTGCCTTCCAATACAATTTTTAATCAAAATAACATCACATACATTTTTCTTTTTTTTTTTTGTATAATCTTGCATGAGACTTTTGTTTTTGCATCATCATGAATGCATGTGTATATATCCCGCTAGCCTACTAGCTAGTTAGTAGGCCTAGCCTAGGCTAGGCCTAGCCTAGCCTAGACTAGGCCTAGACCTTACTTAACCTATTAAATGAGAGTATTATATTAAATAATACGATTTTCAACCTCTGATTTATATAAAAATAACTAGTCATTTATACCCTTGACTTCCAAAACTGAAGCCTCCACCAGTTTGTCCACCTAATATCCCTGTTCCTGTCGTATTTACAGCTGACTGTCCGCCGAACGAAAAGCCACCGGAGGCCGCCATTTTGCTACTGATTTCTGATTCAATGATGACAGTAAATTACATGTAACTGCCGCCCTCAATTGTATTGGCCTCTTAAAGACATGAGAAACATACATATTATCACTTTTTTTTAAAATTGTTTTTAGATTAAATTATTAATTTTAAATATTCATACCAATTACTATAAATAAAACAATCTAATACCTTTGCCGTAAAAGAATATTTTTATCAGTACAGTAAAATGTTTTTGATGAATTTAAGATTTACTTTTTGCAAAAGATCGTTTTGCGAATCAACGTGCAATTAATCACTTTAAAACTATTTTGAGCTAACAATTAGCATTGCCGAGGCTCAAGCTTTGCCTGGGCCCGGGGCCAAGCACTGGCGTATTAGGAGTGCCGGGGTGGGGGGACGCACGCCCCTCCATTAATTACTCGTGCTCCCCCAATCTCCCTCCCCTTAAAAACTTGCAAGTAGTTAAATATCACCTAAATATCACCTTATTTCACAGTTAGCACCCTTTAACTGATCACCAAGCCCCCACTTCACATTCGCGCCCATAATCAGCACCGCATTTCAAGACTTCATACGCCACTGAAGCAAAGGGGGAAAGCCCCGGTGGGTTTCGGAGGAAAAGCCTATAACTGCATAGAAAAAAGTTGTTTTTTAACGTTAACAATTTTACAATTAAATATATAGGCCTACCTACTTTCATAAAAATAATGTTTAGTCATTGTTTTTCCATATGCTAAGTTAAAAAAGTGGGTTTTGAACTATAGACGAATGCTGAATGTGGAAAAAAAATTGGTATTATGTCTCTTAGTTACTGTGCTGTTGATCTTGTCACAGTGGCCAGCGAATCCAGAATTGTTCAAACGGCGGTAGGGGCACAACAGTTTCAAAATAGATAGGCCTAAGTAGCACATAACATTAATACGCATTGATATTTTTAAAATTTAGTGGCAAAACTGGGAGGGGAAGGAGCGTGCGCTGCCTCCCCGTGCCCCTTACTGGATCCGCCCCTGTGTCACACTACACCCGTGATTTGCACCAAGTTCTGACACATATATATACGTAAAAATAATTTAAAAATTTATCATGAATTACAATTACAGTTAGTTAAGACTACTCCCATTTACAAATATAGGCCAGATAAATCGTAAATCTATAAATACAGTTACAAAACTATATAATTCAATTACAAATATAATTTTTTTTCCTATAGTTTTAAGATAATAGTGCTTGCTATCGGCCATCTGGTAGTCGGATTTGCCAAGACTGTAATTCAAACAAGGAATAATTATCAAAAAGTGCCAAAAACATTTCAGAACTTTAGTGCACAGAGCATTTTTTGCATTTAAAACAAATACAAGAATAGGGCGACGATTCGCCCTTGTTATAGTTCGCGCTTTGGAGCTATAAATAGGTCCGTATACTGTACCTCCTTCCTTGGTCCATGTTCGCACTAATGCATCCGCTCGAACTTGTATCCGCTCGAACTGACATCCGCTCGAACTGTCATTCGCTCGAATCAAAGAGTATAAATTCCGTCCATATACTCTTTGCTCGAATTACCAAAAAAATTGATAACATTTGTACAAAAGAAAAGTCAAGATAACAAATGCTTCTTCATTGGTATGAACGTGTTGTTGTTTTTTTTAAATAATTTTGTTATCAACATTGATGCCAGAAAGATGTTTTTAAAGGAGGTTCTAATCTAAGCTAGGCTTAGGCTAGGCCCTAGGCTCGCTACATTCTATTACTACTAGCCTAGGCCTAGGTAGGCCTAGGCTAGGCGTAGGTAGGCCATAGCCTCTCTCACCATGCTACTGTAGTAGGGCCTAGGACAGGTTAGTAGTATTATTAGGGCCTAGGTTACAGTTGGATGGTCCTTCTGACATCATCATCATCATACATTATTAGACTAGGCCCCCTAGGCTAGTGGTTTAGTCACCTGCCGTCCCGCACCACATAGTTACCAACCTGAGAGATTTGAAATGCGTGACTACACCAGTTGAGTGGGAATCGGGTTCCAGTCACATTCATGGTTGGCTGGGTTGTTTTGCTGGGAAAAGAGAAATTTCCTCGGTAAATTGATTCTCGAACGAGATAACGAAAGCTCTAATGATTCAAGCTCCTGCATGACCGTTTTTATATTCACTAATTGGCAATTTCTTATATTTTTAAATACATTTTCCTATGAATTAGTGATAATTCGTTATCATGCGTAGACTTTTGCTAAATGCGTGACAAGTTTCTGATCGCACTGTGTCTCTGCAAAATGCATGTTTCACCCAAAATCACTTTGAAATGCGGGACCGTCCCGCACGATGCGAGACGGTTAGTAACTATGCTCCATGCGGAACAGTCCCGCATTTCAAAGTGATTTTGGGTGAAACACACATTTCAGGGGCGGATCCAGAGATGCTCAAATGGGGGGGGGGTGCAAAAGTTGGGCCGACGAGACAACACCATCCTAGGGGGTCCGGGAACATACCTCCCTTGAAATTTTTGTGTTCTAGACGCCAAAAAATAACATTTAAGGCATTCTGGGCTATCATTTTTTTTCTTTTTCTTTCTTTTTTTTCTTTTATTTTCTTTTTTTACCTCCTAAAAAGGGCCCCCCCTTTAAATCCGCCCCTGCATTTTGCAGAAAAAAACACATGCGTGATCATAAATTTATCACAAAATTTCAGTTCTTTAATATGTAAAAGATTTATAAATATAATACCAAATTGCTAGTTTAATTAACTGAATTTAGAAATTCCTAAAAATGTAAAATATTTAAAGACTGAAATTTTATTTTTTGTGTTCCACAAAAAAATAAACGCGGACGAATTTGTTATGTTAGATTTTGTGATAGGTCTGCAAAAAAATATATTACTGTAGGTGCCTGAAACTTTAGCCTAGAAACGCTGTTAGGCTAGGCCTAGCCTTACTTTGTATCTAGGTTATAATAATACTGTTATCATGATAAGAACAGCCGACATGGTATTTTCCGTTGCCAGTATTGACATTTGTGAAATATAATTTTTCATTGCAAGCAATTTCAAATTTGTTAAAAAAGTGATTCTGACTGAGATTTTGACAATTAAACAAACATAATGTATCTCAGGCCTACTCGATCATCAGCAGTGTGCGAGATGCGAAGTACAATAACCAATCTCAATAGAGAGGGCATACTTTATTTATCGCTCACGATCGTATCGGTGGTGTAAGCAGTTCAGTAAAACAGATGAATTAATGTTTTTTGTTTTTTTTTAATTAATTGTGGGATGAATTAATTTAAAATACCTAAATGGCGTTCGGCAAGGTTGCATAT